TGTGGCAAAATACTGTTTGCTCCAGTTTAATACTCTTCATATCTGGAAGAAATAAAATAGGTTTCACAATATCTGTGGCAGCTAAGCCATTAGTTTTTTGGTAAATAGCAAAAGGACTGATTTTTATAGAGAGCTTTTCTACTCTACCTGAGCACTCAAAGAGCTTTAAACAACTTACCTCATTCATCCAAGAACTTTTTTCCTATGCTTAAGGGCTTTCTATCTAACTAACTTCTTGCCCAAGGATATTTGGGATCAAACCACTAACCTTCTGATTAATAGTTGTCCTGCTCTACCTTCTGAGCTACAGCCACCGGAAGAGCATATGTTGTAGTACTTATGTTCAGGAACTGAATGCAAGTACTAAAACAAACCTCCGTCTCACCTTGACTTTCCTTGACCAAATACCATGTACAATTTGAAAACTAGTAATGTAGTACTGGCCCTAGTATTACTACTATATTTAGAATATATGCAGACAGGATTGGGAGAGTGCTGAACGCAGTACATGAGCAGAAAAAAGATGAAACGGACTGACAGTAGTGATGGATAGTTCATTGAAACCACACACTTTTCTCGTCTTGGTTGAATTAAAATATGCTTGGTTGACAGTCTCAAATAAAAAATATATATATAATGAATGAAGTACCGAGCCTCCAAAGATTACACACAAATTTAGGATGGCTTTGTCTTGCATGAAATGTAAATATTGTATGATTTGCTTTTATTAAATGATATCTAGCCTAAAAAAAAATGTGTTATGTACTATGAATCAACAAGCTCCTCGAGTGTATGTTAGAAAGAAGCAGAATGTCTCCTGGATGATCGTCATGAAGCAGATCTTGAGCCCCGACCTCCCTGCAGAGGAGGGACAAGTGGAAAAATGAGCCTCCCTTTTGGCGATCAAGACACATTAGCTGAAATACAGCCTGTCTGTAATTGTGCTCTGCATAGAAGCACACATCAGTCATGGGCTGCTCATTTCATTATTCCGCCTGCGGGGAAAAGTCCCAAGGGGGATCACTTACATCATAAACCACACACACACTGTAGACACCTCCACTCTTTCGACTTTGCACACATATGCCCAACTTCTGGTATAAAAAAAGAAAGAGAAAAAAAACAGGTGATAAATGGATAGAATCAAACAAATCGCCTTTTGTAACACTTCCTCTTGTCTGTCTCCTATTGGTATAAATGACATGAGAACAAAGCTGCTGATTTATATTTAGTCTTATGATGTACTACGATCCTGTCTTTACCATGCCTGCGAGCTTTGTTAATATGTATTCTGGCTCCACTGTAAGCGCGTGCCTGCCTGGGGATTGCTTTCTAGATTTAGTTTTTGCCCTCACCTAATCTTCTCCTCTCTGCTGTTGCACTGTTTCTAACCATCTCATCATTCTCGCTCTATTTCTCTTCATCTCTCTATTCCTGCCTGTCTCTCCATTTCTGACTGTGACTCCCTTTCTTACTTTCAGCGCCGCGTGTTCCTCAGAAAAAGTCAGCAGAGGAGGAGGAGTGTGGCAAGACTATGATTATTCATCTAGAGAAAGGCAGAGAGCTTCTTCCACTCACTCAGCCCACGGTCAGCTTGCCTATCTGTGATTAAATTCATCAGCACCCCTCTCATTCTTCCACACACCAACACATGATTCTCCTCAGAGAGTTGCCATTAGTGCTCTCTCCCTGTTAGAAAACGATTCGCACACAGAAACCTCCTGTACACTAAGTTCCGTGAAAGTCTGCCCTTTGCTCATATAAGCACACTTTTATCAACTCCTCTAGAAATGTAGCTTTGTGCTCAGTCCGTAAATATCTGTGCAGTTCTCATTCCTATTTATGCAAACTTGCAGACTATGTTCCTCAATAGGCCATTACAAACCAAATTGATATTATGCAAATAAGGACAAAAAAAAAGCACGCACAAGGGATGCGAGTACTACTGGGATAGTCCAAGGCTGCCAGCAGTATGAATTAATTGTGTCCTAGCATGTGGGGCCGGAGGAAGCAACAGCAGGAGGGGGCTTTATCCCTCTCGGCGCGGCCTGGAGCTCTGCTGGAGTTTTAGATCTGGTGATTAGGCTGTGAGGTCGAGCTACTCAGCGGAAGTCTCCTCTGAATTCGGAGGAACCGCTGAAGGCATGTTCTTCATCACATCAGATGAGGAAGGGGGGAAAAATTTTTGCAGCCCCACATTCAGCTGGCCGGCACACAAAAGATGAAGACTTCAAGGTCCTTTGATTTGAATCCAGTTTCTCATTGAGACTTCTGATTGATACATTTGAGGCAGGACTGCCTTTTGCACAGACTTTTCTTGACTAAACTTTTCCACTGGTTGGATCCTTCAACCTGTCTATTGTGTCCCACTTTGTAATCATTATTTAATTCTGCATTAAAATATTTAATTATATAGATAAATATACAGAGAATTGATTACCACTGTAGGAAATCCAACCAAGCATGCTTAAATACTCCAATTTGTAGTATACTCACAAATCACCTGAAAAGAACTGCTTCATATGCAAATTCCCTGGATACTCATACTGCAAGGGATAAAAATGCCCAAGGCTGTATTTCTACCGAAGGCACTGCATTATTCACGAGATAGTCTGCTGTGGATTTTGGTGAACAGCATGAAAACACTCTCCCATCTCTTACAGACAAGGTATAAATCTGACATGATACACCTACTCCTATCCCTCAGCTCTGGCTGGTCGTTGTATAAAGAAAGCACGCTCTGTTTTCTCAACGAGCATGACAGGCAGGTATTCATGTGTGAAAGCAAGTCTCGCACAAATGTTCACAGCATTAATACATAGATACTGAAATCAATAAAGTCTTGTTTTTCAGTGTTCCGCTCAAGACAGCCCATTGTGCTGAGAAGCAAGAACCCCTGAATAACAAACATGCGGCGATTGATGAAAAATATTTTTAAACGTATAGACAACATGCAATTGTTTTGTGAAAGAGAAGCAGTGTGTACTCACACGGGACCTTTGTGCAACTATAGCTCAAACAATGCCTATGCTCTCAATAGTGATGTGAGATGTTTGTCCATCATTTTAAATCACGTGTTTGCAACGCTGCGTACAAGAAAACAAATACAGTACATGCATCAGGGAACAACAAAGACTAGTATTAGTACAGCAAATTGACTGTACCTACAAATACTTTCCATCATAAGAGATAAAGGGCTTTGTTATTCTTGCCTCTTCGTTCAATAGCAAAAGGACTGCCATTCAAGTCAGTGACTTAGGGTTCATTGAATTGCTCTAAAACAGTGCAACATGTGGACACAGGGAGCCAAGGATCAAACCAGTGTATTCCAAAGTAAGAACTAGGGCTCCAGTATTCCTGTTGACTGCTGGGCTGAATGATGAAACACGGTCTGATAAACTCCGTAATACCTTAGATGTGAATTAGCAGGATCTGTCTTAAATCACCAATTAAATTTGTACTACACAACTACATTTATCACTGCAAAATATTTTTTTTAAAAGCCTACACCGTAAGTGGTTATTTTGGTAAACTTTGGACCAAACTTCCCACATGATTATCATGCAGACCCTCTTTGCTGTGGTCACTCTATACTCAGTTGTGGAGTGAGTGAATTTCGTCAGAGTAACTCAATTCAAACACGGCACGTAGCTGGCAACTTCCACATTTTACCATGATTGTCACGCTAACTGATGCATTTTATGACTTTTAAAAGTCTCCTAGAAGCTGGCCGTGCATAATGTTTAATTATTGGAGAGTGACGAAAATGATTTAACATGCATTAATGCGATGAAACAAGCAGTGTTCTTGCTCTCACTGCTGCTAAACGTGTAATCGACACACCCATTCAACGTGTCCATTTCACGCTTTGCCTCTCCGAAACATGAAATGGACACACATGGAGAAATTGCATTACCAGCAGGGGGAGATAATATATTTAAAGCCACAGTCAGTAGTGAGCAAAAAAACATAGTGAATACATTCCTGGGTCCGTAATTGTCATTACGTTAGGTGCTAATATGTATATACATGTAAATGTGTCAATAATCTGTTTAAACGCTTTCTCATGGTTATTTTCATGTTGCCTTGAGATAAAATATTTCCCTCTGCTGTTACTGTAGCTTACTGAGAGTTCCGCATGCGTGTACATTTCACCAGATGGCCTCTCTTGATACACAAGAAATGTACAGTATTTTATCCTCAGCTTTTTTACCTCTCTCTAAAGGAAGACTGAACACCTACAGATATAGCAGACATATCACGCATAAATCGTTTATCATTTTTTACTATTTATGATCCTTAATATTATTATTATTATTATTAATTAAATATTTTTGGTTTAGGGTTTGAGGTTACAAATCCCAGTGACATGAGATGCAGCAGGTGTTGGATAGCTCAAACCAGGTGACATCTACGTGAACCTGTGGCTGAGCTGCAATAGGCAGAGTCACCTTGAATCAACAATACCAATGAAACAACCCAGAGAAAAGTGCAGATATGGTTTGCATTGGAGCAAAACATTTTTCATTCATTTGGAATTGAAAATACATAACTATATAATAAGGGTGCAACGATACACAAAATTCACGGTTCAGTTCAGTTCGATACTTTGGTGTCACGGTTCGATATTTTTCGATACAAAAAAAAATGTTCATGCTTTTTTAATTTGTCATTTATTAAAATTATAAATATATATTTTAACTCAAAAGTACAGTTTTTAAATTTAATGTTGCTGAAACAACAAAGTAATAAAAAAATTAATCTGATGGAGAAATCACTCATCTTTGGAAAAGAGAGTTAATTACAGAGAAATGGCTCTTTCCAAAATAAAAGCTGTACAATACACTTCTTCTGGGCTATATTCTCAGCAGCATATTAAACATATCAGGTCCCCATAAGGAGAATCATGTGCTAACGGCAGTCTAAATGACTCGGGTAAAGTTTGTAGCATGCGTGCTTGGTGTTTTTGTCTGCTTCCACTTGTCTTTGCACTAGGATTGTCACGGTGCAACAATGGTGATAGTGCGTCCCTCCTTCCGTGTGTGATAGTGAGTGCCCGTCTCTCCTCCAAGTGCTTCCTTAGTGTCGTCAATCCCTGGGCACACACACACACGACAGCAGAATGAGTAAGAATATCAGACAGCACTTCAATAACGTTAGCGACTCGAAAACATTATCAGGCTTAGTGCAATACTCCAGCGCTGTCTGTCGCTCAGCCACACCACTAAGTAGCCCTGCTGAAGATGGTAGTTGATTGGCAGCAGCTGGTGGATTGACTGCAGGTGCGGCAGCTCCAGGCGACAGCACTTCCGGGTCGGAGGTAGCCTGTTGCTAGGTTACCTCCTAACACATCACAGCAAAGCCGGAGGGGAAGACAGGGCAATAGGAGAGACACATACACACGCACACGGATTTACACACACTGGCAGGTCGACCGGTCAGGGCGCCGTCAGATCATGACAAGGATGATGTCGGCGTAAATGTGCAGTCATATTCATTGGTCGTGTCCAAATTCATGGGCTGCATCCTCCTGAGGACCCGGCCTTCGCGGTCTACGTGGCCCACGTAGACCGGTCCTCAGAAGGTCGGGTAGGCCGGAAGTAAACGGCCGTGAAATTGGACGGTCTAGCCTTCTGATTAGCGTCACCGCTGTCTCAGTGGAGTTTAATAAACTCGGTCGTCTGCTCCTTGCTATCTAAAATATAACAGGACACTGGCGTAAATTCTCGACTGTCTCATACTTCTGTTTAATCAGTTTTCTGTTTGACGTTTAGTCAGCTGTGTAAAAACCAAGGAGGAACCCACCCGGGGGAATAATAAAGTTTTATTTTATCTAATCGTATCTAATAACTTTAATCTCAGCCAAACCGATTTACTCACAAACAAACAAAACACTGGAAAAAACCCAACAATAACATTTTTAGGTTGTCTAAGTGACTTATATATTACGTTTAACCCGAGCAGCGAAACTCCGCGGTGATCTGAAAATGATGTGCCGGGAGTTGTGCCGTTCTCGGCCGCATCAGTAACCCTCGAGCTCCCGGCTAGCTGTCGAGCTGGTGGGTAGCAGACGCCTTAGAAAACGTCGACGCACTTTTGCAAATATGCGATATCTTGATAAACCGAGCAGATATTTGATGTTTACACAACTACTTCCTCGCCTGAAAATATGTTAAAAGTTTATTTTGTGACCCAGAAAGATTAGTATGAGTAATTTTAAAACTTAGCAGCGGCCGCCATTGTTGGAAACTGGAATTTGGCTGGGCCGCGCTATGAATTCTGGGATATGGTAGGCCACGAAGGACACACCCGACCCATCCTTAAAATTCGGGGAAAAGGAGGACGCATTTGTCGGCTACATTCGGAGGAGTCTACGAATTTGGACAGCCTTCGGCGCGTCGCTGTGACGTAATCGGTCTACAAATGCGGCCTCAGGAGGATGCAGCCCATGAATTTGGACACGACCATTGTGTTCCCACTAGTGCTGTCAGCATTAATCTGAAATGACGTTAACGCCACAACACGGCAAATCTCCGTTAACGAGCTACCGCGGATCGCCCCACGCGTGGGGCTGGACGGCGTCAACACGTTAACGAGCAAACTGCGCTAACGCAGTAGTTCCCACCCACGTAATTGAGCATTGCGTGGCACATCCGACATACTCTTTTACTTTTGAGTAGTCGAACGCAGATCCACTGAGCTCTCAACACAGACAGCATCATCAGAAGAAAAGCTGATAAAATAAATTTAAAATTTTGTATTGTTCGATACATATGCATACCGAACCAAAAGCACTGTATCAAATGGTTCAATATCGATACGAGTATCGTTGCACCCCTACTATATAAGTATAACTAATTGTACTATCACATGGCATTACCTTCAGTTTGATACAGTGGGCTGTATTTCTCTTTTCACCATAGCTTCAAAGAATTAGTAGAAAAAAAGCACAACATTTGTGTAAGATCAATATGCACAAAACCAGCCACCAATAAAGTTAACTTAAAAACACTACAGCTAGTACCTTACTGTACTCTTCTAATTATACAGAAGCCTGGTCTCGAAAAGTTCACGAAGCTCTTTATAGTCATTATTTAGTTTTCTGTTCAGAAGAAAGGAAACTTAAAACCAAATACAAAACGTGTTTAATGCTAAAGTAAATTTTCATTATGTATTTATTTTTCAGTGACACCCACTAAAATCTCACTGACATTTGTTGATCCTCAGCTGCCCACCTCCAGATTTATAATAAGACATTTAATGAGATATTCGGCTTGTCATTATAACCAGTGTACTGTAATTGTAAAGGAAAAATGCTTGTAGGTACAAAGCTACATCGCAAATGCCTGCCATCTGATAAAGTGCAAGAAGTATGTTATTTCCTAGTGCCTCTGCCAGTCTAATAACTGACTTTAACATTACCAGGTCTATTTTCAGGTATGACAGCCATTCTGCAAAACATCCATGACTTAAAAATGAGCTGCTTCTAATCTCCTCTTTCTTTCAAGGTGCTACTCTTGAAGCACTTCCTGTAGCTCCAGCACAGCAGTTAAATCCTTCACTGGGAATTCTTTAATTGCATCACACAGCAATCATGACACACTCTGAGCCCCTTGGGAAGATGAGCGTTTCTTCCTATTCATGTCAATCAAATTTGCCATGCTTAACCTCAGTCACCTGTCACTCATCTGATTAAGCACAGCAAGTGATGAGTAATGTCGTCAGGGCAACTGTTGCTGAGTGTAACAGTTTTCAATGAAGATTCCTAATTATTTGCAGCAACTTCATCATAATGTTGTGTTGCAGTGATGTACGTTTGATCAGGTGAGTGAATTGAAAACATGAATGCATCCACATAACAAGCATAGATTTATAATACTATAGAAGTTTCATCAATTAAAATCACTGTTCAAGTTTGTGCCTTCTGAAATTATTTATTTTTGCCTGCTTAATTTATTTTGCCATTTTTCAAAGCAATTTGAACTGAAGCTATGTATGTTATCTAAAAGAAAAAATAAACAGCCTGAAATAAGAGCACTGTTGCATAATTAGCAGTATTAATACAAATATATTACAATATATTCTAATGTGTAATGAGAAATCAAAGAAAAACCTTTTTCCCTTGCACCATGTGCTTCTAGATGATAAAGCAGTGAAGTGCTGAGAAACAACAGAGGTTTTATCAAAACTGTGCAAAATTAATCTATGAAACAGACCTTGAGGTTATTCAGTTTTTGTCAAAAACAAGGAAATGTTCGATTAAGCATTGCAATAAACAGTATATCAATATGAAACTAAGTCTATACTTTTTAAGGAAGAGCTACAAAATAAGTCTGACTGCATAAATAATATATATTGCTCCCAGTGTTAAGAACAAAAACAAAAAAATATGCATCATTTGTGTAAAGTATGCATTACAGCCAAGTTTATTGTGAAGAACTACCACAAACACCACAACATGAATTTCTAGGAAAACAATTCAAAAATAATGACACTGTCTTCATATTTGGAGGCATCCAGTCTCCCATGCCATTCTTAAATTTGCTAACTCCAGCATCTGTCCTCACAGTGCTGATCTATCTTCACTCACTTACAGCAGCTGTTGCTAGGTAACAGCTCACGCCTGCGTGTGCTTATTACGTTTTTCAAAACGACATTAAATAGTCAATGAATCAAAATGAAAGTGCCATGGAAGTTGAAGTTCCAGATCTTTTTTTCTTTTTTTTTTTTCTAAATGTTCCAGATCTAATGCAAGCTGCTTTCTCTAGTTTACTATTTTATAAAGAAGAGCTAACAACACCACTGTGTTCTTCAGTAATCAATTAGGTATGTTAGACCCAAGTCTTCAGGCTTATCATTCTTCCTGTCCCCTTATATGACCCAGAAACCCATGGCTGAACTGTTCACGGTAAATATGCTGCTCTGGAACCAAAACCTACAGGGCATTTCTAATTAGGTAAGGAAACAGCACTATACTGTGAGGAGAGGACGGGATGAGCGAGAGGATACAGGAGGAAGTGAGGAGAAGGGGGCTGATTGGGAAATGAAGAGAGCGGAAGCAAATAGCAGGAAAGAGGTGGGAAGAGGGGAAGGAAAAACTGTGCAAGATGATGGGAAGACTGGGGACTTATCCATTAATTATAACACAATTGAGGCTGTCAGATGTAGCATGCATCGAAAGAGTCAGTGATATGACAAGGAGATTGGGACAGATGAAGACCATGGAGATTTGCACATGGATAGAGATTTGCACCAAAGAATAAAAAAAAAAACATTGATTTTAAAAAGAGCAACAATGAAAAGGAATGAGAAAAAGAAAATAATGGAGGGAATACAATCACCTCAACCTTACAAACATCTTAAGCATGATCCAACATAGCAGCAAGGCCACGTTCCAGCAACCTTTTGCCTACATACCTGAGTGTCAACCTACCAGCTCTGGATAGCCCATGGATGATGTTCCAGAGGGGCCAGGCTCCGTGCCGACACATTCCAACACAGAAGCCCTTTCAGTAGGCATGAGACAGCATTGATGTGGCCAGGGACCAGCCTGGGTCAGCCAGCGCTGCAGAACTAATACGTGCCTAGACTTTTACCACAAAACCCCTCAGGCCCCGCAGTCAATGAGCCCAGAGATTGCTATGCCGCTTTCACTTTGGGAGCCCCAGATCTGAGAGTGAAGAAGCGAGACCACGGTGTCTCGGAATGAGAAGTAAAACAAACAGACGTTTTAGCACAGGATATGGTTGGCTGCTTCTATGTCTTGCAAGCCCCTGATGTGTATTCAACATTAGCTGCAGCACAACACAGCAGCACACTGTATCCTCCCTCTTTCAGTCATAGCTATAAGAATATTCTAACTATGAAGCTAAAATCAAAGTCTTTCAAAAGTATTTGTTTGTATCTTTTTGCAATCTGCACCGGCAGTACAAGCCTTTCCAAATCATACTTGCAAATGATTTATGGGAGGACTGGTAAGTGAGTTCACAGGGATGTTTGCAGGTAAGCTGGGGACCTGGCTGAACCAAATGAAAACAAATGATGGTAACACTTTAGATTACAGTCTGCAAAATACAAAGTAATTACACTACTAGA